ACAGGGGCTGGCAAGTCTGAGATCTGTAAGGCAGGCCAGCAGGTTGTAGAGTTGATGCTGCAGTCTGGAGTCAGAAGGTTGGACACATAGGGAGAATTTCTACATTACGGTTTGGAGGTAGAATTCTTTCTTCTTCAGGAACCCTCAGCCTTTGTTCTTCAGCTGATTGCATGAGCCCAACCATGTTGTGGAGGGTAATCTGCTTTACTCAATCTGTCAACTAATTGTAAATGTTAATCACTTGTTAAAAAAATACTTTCACAGTGACATCTATACCATCATTTGCCCAAACGACTGGGCACAATAGCCTACCCAAGATGACATAAAATTAACCATCTCAGCTCAGAATTGAGGAAGTGCAGCTATGGGAGGTAAGGAAAGATCCTTGTACATGCTGCTAGAGGCAAAATCCGGCACCAATGCAGTGTAAAAACTACACTGCTTGATATACCAAGCCTGGTAGAAACTCAAAACATCAAGCACTGTAGAAACTCAAAAAATCCTCACTGCGTGAGTGGCTTCCCTCAGCCTCAAGGCAGTATATTTTCTTATTTGTAAAGTATTCTTTTTATTTTCTTTGGCTACTTGAGAACCAACAAGGGTGATTTGGACAGGGGTACATATCGCTAAAGCTTGGGGCATCAAACTGTTTTGATTGTGCCCACCTATGGGTAAATAATTTTAACTGTCGTTATGTATATTTGCTTATTCATAAATTATATGTGCTAATATTTATGTACATTATAAATCACAAGTTAAAATTAAGGGTAGACAGATTTTTTTAATGTTTAAAAATATCTACTTTTTAATAGTTCAAAAATACTTTAAACCTTCTTATTTAATATTTTTGATAAGAGCCTTATGATGGAAAATGCATACTTGGCAAAAAGGAAAAAGAAGGACAAAAGAACTACAAGATAGAAAACAATGAACAAAATGGCAAAGGAAACCCTTCCTAATAAATAATTTTGTTAAGTGCGAGTGGATTAAACTCCCAATGAAAAGGCATATTTAAGACATTTTTGGTTAACACTTTGCAATCAAATGCTTTAAGTTCTGTACTTAAGTTTGGTTTATTCTGACACTTGGTTTTCATGGTCAAATAAACGATTCATTGGTGCAAGTCTCAGTAAACTGGCTTCCAAATCACGATACTCACTTCTCAATCCTGTTCACACTGACGTAGAGTTTTGATGAAATTCAGCTGATCTGTCTCCATCTTTCCTGATGTCAATCAGTTCTTGAAATTCAACTGAATGATATTGCATTTTTATTTTTTGGCAAATGGATTTAAGACTCATTGAATCTTTAGTTGGAAAAAATTTCAACTGAGTTTAAAAATTTTTTTCTAAGGTATACACTGTGCAGATATGAGAGTGTTTATAGTGTTTCTGTCAAGAAAATCACATAAAAAGACATTTCTAATTGCATGCTGTCCACAAATGGTATCTCCATAGCATGTTCTTTTAAATAGATCATTTCTCACCTCATCTCTATTTTATTTTGAAAGCAGATATTTGTGTGTGTGTGTGTGTGTGTGTCTGTGTGTGTGTGTGTGTGTCTGCCTGTTTGTGTGTTCAGGAACATCCCCTAGCTACTACAATATTAAGAACTCTTTATCATGACAGGAAAGATCAACAAATTTGGACTCTTATAATTGTGGCAAAAAAATGTGTCAGAGTTTGATGACTCTTAATACTACGCACAAAATAACTGGAAAACGATGTGGTTGGATCGTTCATCATTTTATGAATATTTCTGTGACTTTTACTCTTCATAGAATTAACCACACAGAGCACACACTGGGGCAGGTAGGCACGTTACACATTAGAGCACGCTGCACCCTAACTCACCAGAGAAGTACCAGGCCCAGTCCCCGCCCATAAGTCCTCTCTTCCCACTGGGGTGTCCTCTATTGCCTGTGATACCTGGCAATGACCCAGAGAGGGTGCAACTGTTAAGATATTATATGGCCAATGTCTTTCTTTTAATTTAAAAAGATTAGCATAAAAGTTCTCATATTTTCTTCACACATCCTGTGAATCCCTGGTCTAGACAGGATCTTGTCCCCGCTTGCCCCAGAAATTCTAGGGTCCCCTCATAATAGGGAGTATAACATATCTCTTTTTGTCTATTTCAGTAAATTTTATATATCAGTCGTATTAAATAAGTGTCGGCAGAGGCAATATGACTAGAAGATTTCAAGCAAGGGCACCCCTCAGAAATTTGTCCTGGGCCTGAAGGTGGAAAGGGGCCTGCAGCAAGATATGGACGGATCCACACTTTTCCTGCCCTGGGAAGGGAAGGCCAGCATCTTAGAGGCAGCTCCATGTCACGGCTGATGCACCACAAGCCACATCCCACTGATATTCACTAGCCCCGCCACTACCCAAAGCCCTCATGCATGCGAAGTTCATAGCTGCACCTAGAGGTTCCTTTCTGTGAAATTCTGGGGCCCACGGCTACAGCAGCCACTTCTTCCTATGAACAGTGGTGTTTTCGTGCCCTAAGGCTGCTGTGATAAATTACCATGAATTTACTGGCTCTAAACCACACAAATTTGCTCTCTTATGGTCCTGAAGGTCAAAGGCCACAATGGGATAGCAGGGCCCCTTTCCTCTGGAGGCTCTAGGGAGCATCTATCTCCTCACCTACCCCCAGCTTCTGTGGGCTGCTCATAATCCTTGACTCATGCCCCGTTCTTCATTTTCAAAGCCAGGGGCACAGCATCTTTCAGCGTCTCTGTCTGTCGACCCTCCTGTCTCCTTCTTATAAAAACATTTCTGATTACATTGGACCCAACAGGAATAATACATGAGAAACTCTCAACCCTAAGATCCTTTTCTTAATCAAATCCGCAAAGTTTCTTTTGCTGTGCAAGGTAACATATACTCAGGTTCTTGGAATTCAGACGTGAATGTTTTAGGGAAGCCATTATTCTCCTGACCACACGTAGCCTCTTCACTTTTGTGAATAACTATCACTCACGGAGTAATATAAAAGTCATTGGTACAGCACACACAAACGCCAAAAAGAAAAAATAAGTTCTAGATTTTAGGGAGACAATACAGGGGTCCAAAGGATAATAGAACTCCTTAGGTTAGGATATCTGTATTTCCCAACCAAGCAAATGTGCAAAATTTAGCAGCCATCAGTTTTATGGAAGCAAGTGACCATTGGCGAATATACCACTCCTCATCTCAATGTCACAGGCACAAATACAACTGAGACTCCCTCATACAGCTGTTGCTAGTGCAGATAACAGCTGCTGTCTCTCTCCATGGCATAGCAGCTACCAGCATGGAAAAAGCCTGATCGGTCTCTTCCCAGCCTTCCCAGCCAACAGATGTCCCCCTGCCTCTCTCTGCACGGCCAGCCTCCTGCCAGCCCAGCACAGGAGCACTGACTTCAGTTCTATTTTTAATTTCTAGTGCTGGGACCATGGATGTTTTAGTAGCATTTCACACAACTTAGAACACATTTCGTGTTAGATCTAGAAAAGCATTGCCAAGAATGCTTCTTCTCTTCCCCCCAAAGCCACCACAGTTGTACCCATCCTCCTTAGCTTCACTTACCTGGATGCCATTGCATGTAGACCATCCTATCCTGGTTGTCAGCCTGCATAAAGAATATCCTGGGAGAGATTTTCATGAAAGGGCTTTACAGAAGGCAACAACCTAGTACTAGGTACTAGGTTCACCCCATGCCTGCTTCTTTATGTCTGCAGTGAGATTCATACATTCAGTCTGAATTGGCAACTGATTGTCAAACATCTGTTTAGTGTATTAATACTGTCTTAAATTGGATTAAGTAGATACTAGAGACCTAACTGAGAAATCCAGCAGTCCAGAATCAATGAATATATCAATCTCTTTATCTCTTGGTTGTTATATCACTAGCAGAATTCTTAATACTACTAATAAGCATCTATTAAATGACTACAGTAGACAGAGTTATATGCATACCTTCTAGATTGACACAGATTTAGCCACATCAAAAAAATAGAAAAAGAAAGAAACACTACACCAGCACCAACTCATCACCCAGGCATTCCACATAAAGCATCAATGGCCCAGTGAAAAGAACAATTCCAGGAGGTCCCAGGCACTGACCCTATTCACACCCAGCGTGAGAGTCGCCCCATGGCTCTGGGTACACTTCTTGTATTTGGCATCCTTCTCACTGCACACCTCCCTCTAGGGGTCTGGAACCTAGTACCCAAGCCCCAGTGCCCACCAAGATGCCTCAGAACTGTGATTTTTAACTGAGAGACTCTGAAGACATTCACGGCTTCTGCATTAGTGAATGTGGGAATCTCATGTTGGAGGACATGAGTTAAGGGTGTTTACTACAGGGCCTTTGGAAGAGCCTGGAGTAGGGCTTACTTAGGGCCTGCCACTTTCATGATACTGATCATTGAACATTGCTTCTTCTGAAAGACCAGCCAGAGCCTTCCATAGATGGCCCCCTGGGTGAGACTATTGGAAAAAGCATATTTGGTCAGGCCCATAGGCTGGGGGTCAGGATTCTAGCAAGTGGAGCCCTGAGATTAAAGACAAACACCTGAGGCCAGGCATACCCTCTGCAGAGTTTTGCATATCTCAGAAGTCTTTCCTGGAAAAAGGTTTATGCTCTGTGTTACATGGGAATTTTTTTCCTCTAAACTGGGAATTGCAGAGGTCAGGAGGGTATCTGAAACAACTGAATGAGTTCAGGCTGGAAGAGGATTTCCAAAGTGTGACTTTGGAGAGGCCGTTGTGTGGACCTAATGCCTCAAATACCTTGTCCGTTCCTTTGAGTTCAAGCTGGAAGCTTCCAGGTTTCGCGTGCCAAAGCCCTACAAAGCGGAAGTGGGTTTTCAAGGTAACACTAGCAGTTTCTGTTTATAGAAACCATTGAAATTGAAGTTAAATGAACATTTCAAAAGAATCTCTTTGTAAAGCTTTCTAATAAAAACATTTAACGGCAAAAGATGGGACCAAATAGCCTAAATGACATAGCCACAAACTGTTCAATCTGAAAAACGTGTGAATTGTTTTATTCTCTCTGCTGAATTGAAAGCTCATTTTAAACATTTTACTTCAATTGTGAAGAACTATTTCTTTACAATAAGACTTTCACTTTTCTCCAGTAAGACTTCACTTTCAGAGAGAGATGGTAAGGGAGGACTTTCCCTGTAGGAATGGAAAGGACACCCTCCCTGCTGGGGACCATTGGCTTGACAGGCTTGCCATTGACAACTTAGCTCTGAGTTTTCATCTTGCCCAAGTTCCTGTCTGAGGGGTCTAGGGAGTCATGCCCTACAAACCATAAATTCTCATTACATGGGTTTTACTTGAGCTTGTGTATCGTGACTTACTCTCCAATTGGACTGGCATAATAAGGAAGAAAATCAAAATGTTTTACCCCAAACATATTCCCTTGCCAATGCCTTGAAGTTGCCCTGCAAAGTCTCTTGTGGAGAAAATCCACTTTCTGTAGAGAATCCCCTTTTTTTCCTTCTTCCTTTCCAGATTGAGGAGATAATCAGCTAAGAGCCAGGCACCCCTTTAGGTCTAATAAGAAACATTTTACAACCTGCTCTCTCTCTCTGAAGTCGGCTGTCTGATAGATTCCTCTACACAATAAAACTTGGTCTCCATGATCCTTTACCTTGCCCTGAACATTCCTTTCCATGGATCCCAGGTCTTCAGATAAACTCAACCAATTGTCAACCGGAAAATGTTTAAATTTGCCTATAGCCTGGGAACCCCCACCTGCTTCCCCCAGCTTTGAGTTGTCCCACCTTTCTGAAGCAAACCAATGTGTTTCTTAAATGTATTTGATTGATGTCTCATGCCTCCCTAAAATATGTAAAACCAAACTGTACCCTGACCACCTTGGGGACACCTTTTCAGGACCTCCTGAGGGCTGTGTCTTGGGCCATGGTCACTCATATTTGGCTCAGAATAAACCTCTTCAGATATTTCACAGAGTTTCCCTCTTTTCATCAGCACCATTGTCCTTTCCTTCCCTTCTTTGGCTGCATTTAAAGGCAGCGGTGATCACAGGTGTCACCTGGATGTCCCAGTTGTCTGGATGTCCACCAAGATAGTTTCCCAGATGGCAACCAAACCTCTCAATCCAGTCAGGGTTGGCCTTTCCCATTGGGAACTCAGCAGTGTAATTTGTCAGCACCCCAAGCACACACCCCACTCTTGCACCAGCTCACAGACACTGATGCATCCAACGCAGAAAGCAGATTGTCTATGAATTGATGCTGAGCAGTCCCACCTCACCTATGCGAGACTCTCCCCTGCGCAGGCCAGTTTTCTTCATCTTCATGCTCCACCAGCAGGAATCGGATCACATGGAGCTTCAGGACTCGTTATTGTGACGGGGTCACACCTGGATGTGGATGATGGTCTTGAACCCACTTGGCCTCTCCTGAGACCTTTCCCTAGGTTGCCACTGGAGAGACACTGGCCCGTTTCCTTCTCCTGCTCCTTTTCCTTGCACCTCACATGCTACCCCACCACATCTCTATCGCTCCGATACTACTCTTTAAGATATCTGTTCTGGGTCTATTTATGTTTTTTTTAAATTTAATTCTTAAAAAAGATTTTTTTTTATTGCTTTGTCCAAATTCTCTGACAGAGAGGAACCACCTCCATATACCACCGACATGTTAAAGAGGCCATCTCCTAGGCTGCCAGGAGGAAAGAAACACATTTATTTGTGCTCCTGTTTTACCAGGACCATTTTGTGTTATCATTAGAATATCAGTGAAAACATGCAGAGTCGGGGGAGCTTTCTTTATGTGGTCGATGACGATGATGCTGAGATTCCCAAATGTGAAGTCCAAGATCACCCAGCTGTGTATAATGTCTGGATTAGAATTTCAGCCCCCGTTATCTGATTCTAAATGCCCAGCTCTTTCCCACATGGGGCCTCAGTGCCACTGCCAGCGGTGCCTCCTCACTGGCTCTGTGCTCAGCTGACAGCGCCCTCCTGGCTTCCTGCCTCCCTGCTTCATCCTCTCCCACCGTGGGTCAGTGTCATGGATTCTACTCCCTGGCAGTTGGTCTTCCCTCCGTGTGTTCTGTTTTTCCCTGGAACATAACTCTTATAAAACAGCTATCAAGATAGCTGGTTAATTACGAGTGTCAGCTCATGCCCCAGTTCCTCTGCATAGACTAAGGATTCCTCAGGGATGGACTGTGTTCTGGGCATCTGTTTGTCCTCAGTAGCCAGCACTGTCCTGGAACTTGATTGCCCTGGAACTAGTCCATTGTATATCAAGAGATGTATGGATGAAGAATGGCAAGACTCATACTCATGAGTATGAGTAAATAAAAGAGCATTCAGAGCATATGAGCAAATAAACTGTCTCACAAGCTGTCAGACGGGGAGAGGTTTACTGCAGTGACTTCCATCCTTTTCCACTTTCCTGACGAGGGAAAGCGCAAGAGTAAACAAATAATAGACAGGTGTCTCGGCAGTAGGGATGACTGACACAGCTCAGAAAGGAAAGCTTCGTGCTCTTTCTTTGGCTCTGCCTTCAGGCTTCAATATGTAGATGTTTTGCAAAGGTCCTGTGTTCTACTGTCAAATCATCAGGAAATTTCAGGCTAAAGCTACCTCAGAACAGGAGAGCCAGCATTCTTGGTACCTGTTCATCTGCTTCCAAACTTCAAAAGATATCTATATTTTTTTAGTAACTGTTTCTCAGATTCATTGACTTTTCTTCATACTTTTAACAGGATAATATTCCCTCCCAAACTCATAAAATAACATGCCAAGACTTGTTCAGGAATGAAAAGGCCATTCTCTCTATTGGAATGAATACATTCTACACTGATGTGGGTAGCACAATGAAGTAACCATGGTATGTGATAACAATGTTGTGTATCATCTCCCGTTAACTAAAGTTAACTAAATTTTTATTGCCTTTAAGTAACTAAACTAATTAAAATGAAAGTATTTCAGAGTTGGAAAGGATATTGAGAGTGAAAGCACTGCTTATGTAACTTCCCTTCCTCTACTATGAAGATGTTCTGGGCACTGATGGTGTAGACATGGGGTCTGCCCACTGTGATGGTATCAGGGATGCAGAGATGAGGCGGTGGTGATCCGATGTGACTTCTCTAGAGCAGTGACTTCTTCTTTGCTTACAGCCTCCTGCCTGTGCCATTTCTTCAGTGAATTGGGCTACTTTCCTGGAGAATAAGACAGAAAAAATGAATTGTATAATCCCTCTAGATTTCTACACAAACAACTCCAGTGAAAAATTAGTAAGGATGAGAGGAAATTTTTTTTTCTATGACGTGTGTGCTTCATTATTTAAGTTGTCTGAAACTAGGGTGTGATGATTAATGTGTTGATTTGGGTAGGCCATGGTACCCAGATATTTGGTCAAACTAGTCTAGATGTTTTTGTGAATGTTACTTTTAAGACAAGATTAGCATTTAAATCAGTAAACTCTGAGTAAATCAGATTACCCTCCATAATGTGAGTGAGCCTCATCCGTTTAGCTGAAGGCCTGAAGAGAAAAAGACTGAAGCCTCCAAAGGAAGAAGAAATTCTGCCTCCAAACTACCTTCAGACTCCTCAACTGCCCTATGGAATCTTCACTAGCTAGCTCCCACAGCCACATGAGCCACTTTCTAAAAATAAATGTTCTCTCTCTCTCTCTCTCTCTCACTTACTCACTCAACAGATAGACAGAAATGCACATATCCTATTTTTTATGTTTTATCTGGAGAACTCTGACTAATACAGGGGTACTTGACAGATCACTAGAAACCAGAAGAATAACATGGAGAAGTTAAAACAATAGGCACACATTTGAAAATATCCGTCTAGCAAACAAGAGTTTTTGTTTTTTTACTACAAATACGTTTATTTGGGGAAAAATAATTGATATAAACAGAAAGGGTGTTTTTTAATGGTGGAGAGAAAATATGGCATTACTTGTGTTATAGCTGGGAACTTTGTCAGACAAAGGTTTTCTTGTCTTTCATCTCCCAGTCATCTGAGAGCAGCTTGGCACCAGGAAACACCAGCTGCTCTGAAATTCCAACCCAAAGATGTGAAGTGTGATGAGGATATGATGTTGCTCAACAACTTGTTCAGTCTATACTAATTTTAGAATAGCCTGAAATCCACCATAGTTCCAGTTTTTACTAATTTAAGAGTAGCCTGGAATCCATGTCTACTCCACTATTTTCCTGAAACATAATTCTTTATTGAATGTGCCTGATTCTAACTGCACGCAGTATGAGGAGGCACAGCAAGCAGCCTTCCTGGGCCCGGTGATGGGAAGCAGTGCACCTTGTGAATATTATGGGAATCACCTGAACTGCTGATACTTCTAAAAAGAAGGAAATGAACAGGAGTTAGAGGAAGCACACTGGGAAGAGCAAAAAGAGTCCAGGATATAGATGAGCCAAGTTCAAATTCCAATAGGGTAAACAGCCAAATAAAGCAGAGTGAATGTCTGTTCACCTTTAGACTAATAAAGACTTACCTGTGTCAAGGGGTGTTGAGAAGCCAGACAGTCTAGGACTATCCAGGTGCATGAGTCTAAACAGCGTCTCCCAGATGGACATGGTGGGTCAGAGGGATGAGTCTGTAAACAAGCTCAGGAGACCATTCATTGAGAGAACTGCAAATCAAAGATATAGGGGAAGGGTCTGGGTGCATTGGGATCACAGTGAGAGACGAGAATCCAGATCCCAGAAAACTTGGTATCCCAGGCCAAGGAATGTACATTTTGCCATTCAGGTGGGTGGTTTTCAGTTCACATGGCACTGGTTAGTGGGTCATGAAATCAATTCAATGAGTTGCAATCTGCATTTTTAAGGAATAGACTAACATAGAAAATATCAGTACATTTCATGTAAAAAAGTTAAGTTTTGGGGGGAACCAGTTGCCCCAGTTACATCTCTCTCTATTTATTATCAGTGTGTATGTGCGCAGGGCTTTCTTCCATCCGTCCTAATCACACAGGTCAAAAGGCACTGCTGCCGGCAATGGAGAACCACTGAAGAGTTTAAAGTTCCAAGCAGCAGGGTTAGCTTTTGCATTTAGAAAGATACTGTTGTTTCAGAGAGATGATAGATTAAAGGAGTAGGGTTCTGTAGAGGGTGGCTTTGGGATACTGAGGCTCTGCAGCCCCCAGACAGTGTGAGCTTAGGTCATGTTCCTCAATGGTTCATGGGTGTAGGAACCATTCCCAACAAATGAGCTCTCTGCGTTTCTTACGACCCAGAGCACCGTGCCTAGCACAGGGTAACCACTCCAAACAGATGAGTTGTCGCCAATGTTGTTTTTTCATTTACTTAATGTTTGGGGTTTTAATGTATTTACTTTCACTCATTGCCCAGTATATGAAAACAACTGCATAATCAACCTAATGATAGGCCATGTGGACTATGAGACCTGCAAACACTACAGGGAGGTGTGGCACTGAGGGCCTTTCAGTGGCGAAGGATGGTGGTGCCCCTCCTGCTTTTCACTCTGCTTCTTTCAAACCAGTTTGATGATTCCATGTCTACCTAGTTTAAGAGATTGTGATAACTCAAGTAGATGGGAACTCATGTCTCATAATAACATCCATTTTTTCTCAACATTGATTGAGTGGGTATTGTGTGTAAAATATTTGATCATTAAAAAATTAAAAATTGTTATATTTATTTTTGTGACAAAATGTACCTGGACTGAATGGTGTATTCAATACCTGTACTACTATGCTGTTATTTAATCTTATATAGAAAACAAAAACTTGGTTTACATACTAGGAATATATACTCAGTGGTGCATGAAACATGTACACACACGCATGTCATAAATTAGCTGTCCCCAAACTTTTTGGCACCAGGGACGGGTTTTGCAGAAGACAATTTTTCCACAGACTAGGGGAGAGGATGGTTTTGGGGTGAAACTGTTCACGCTCAGATCATCAGTCATTAGATTCTCACAAGGAGCATGCAACCTAGATCCCTGCATGCACAGTTTACAATAGGGTCCATGCTCCTGTGAGAACCTAATGCTGTGCCTGATCTGACAGGGGGTGGAGCTCAAGGGATAATGCTCGCTCACCCACCACTCACCTCCTGCTGTGTGGCCTAGTTCCTAACTGGCCAGCCGGTTCTTTGGCCTGTAGTTTGGGGACGCCTATTCTAAAATGAATTCCATTGATCCCCTATCTACTATTCCATATCCCATAGGATAATTTTTCTTTATTTTAATTTAATTTTATTTATTTTTTTAATTGTACTTTAGATTCTAATGTACATGTGCAGATCATGAAGGATTGTTGCATAGATATATACATGGTAATGTGGATAACAGGATTCTAAGATTCAATCTGTGGGTAGTGCTTTATTTCTTCTTGATGAAATCAGCCTTTAATGTGATTTTAATTATTTTACGGACAGATGTTCAGCAAGAGAGGAATTTTGCAACAAGAAATGATCATGAACACTTTAATTCTTCAGCTATGAGCAGCATGCCTACTTGTATTTTAAATCCAGCCTTGCATCTTCTTTATTTGTGCAACAAACATTAGAAAACATTTTGATTTATCCGGTTTTCAATGGAATAATCTTACTAAAATTTTGCTTAAGATATGTGTCATAATGGGAGAAAAAGTTGAGACATTTCCCAACTTTTTCAGTTGGTTATTTGGGGCATTTCACTCTTAATTTTGGCAATTTCCCAAAGGCTACAAAATGCTACAAAGTAAAATTCAGTAAAAAAGCTAATGTATTTAGTGGCTTTCCTGCTTAATGATCACTCATAAACAATGATCCTCGAGTGAGCATGGGATAGTCAAGAGGGAAACAGAGGAGGATTTATGTTTAGTATGAATTACACAACTGAGAAATAGTTCTCTCCATCAAAGAGCTGCCTTGAAAACTTCTTATTGTTTGCTGTGCGTGTGGTGGAGACATCCTTGACAGCATATGAATCAAACTAATTGTAGCTCTTACTTGGTTATGAAAAAAATGACATGTGCGTTCTTCTAAATTAAGTCTTTCTCACACAAATTACTGGTTGCCACCGTAAATCAAGCAACATGTGTTCTGAATTCTGACTGCTAGAGAATTAGCTATGGAGTGGGGAAATGAGATACTTTTGTTTGCAGCTACACTCGTTGGCTTTTTTTTTTTTTTTTTGCCTTTATCTAAAAATACATGTTACAGAAGTATTGACTCACCAGCCTCCATAGCAAGAAAGATATTCAGAGTGTTAGTCCAGCCCCTTTGTTTTCAGGTGAGGAAAATGATGCCCAGGAAGGTTTGGGAGTGAACTGGAGTCTCATTCAAATGAATGGCTGAGCTTGGACTTGAATTCAGATTTTCTGGTTTTGGTGCAGTGACTTTCATGCTCTTTGACGGCTACCTGAGTAGCAAGCAGTCACCTAAATTCACACTTGGCCCGGTCCCTGCGTAAGCCCGTACTACCAGGACAGAAGGAGGTGGTAGGGGTGGGATTTGATCCAGACTCTTGACTCCAAAGCTACCACATTCTCCTTCTCAGCTGAGAACTCAGTGATAACTTGAAATTTATTATTTTCTAAAAGATCTATTTTATGGCTTTTATTGCAGGTACAGCATGTTGAATAACCTGTGAGTGTCAGGTCATGGAGATAATGGTAAAAATGCTCTTTGGATGAAGGATATAACCTTTATTATCCTTAAGTCAATTGTCAGTGACACTTTTAATGTGCCTGCAATGCCTTTAACTTTGACTTTTCAAGGGAACTTTCTCTAGACTGGTAGTCACCTAACTACAGCCTGTGGGTCAAATATGGCCTGCCAACTGTTTTTGTGTGGCCTGAGTACTAAGAATGCTTCTGATATTGTTAGAAAATTCCTTTTATATTTTATTTTAAGAGAGACAGGGTCTAACTCTGTCACCCAGGCTAGGTTAGAGTACAGTGGTGCCATCATAGCTTACTACAGCCTTAACCTCCTGGGCTTAAACAATCCTCCTGCCTCATCCTCCCCAGTAGCTGGAATTATAGATGTGAGCTACCACATCTGGCCGATGTTTTATAAACCATATATATATATATTACAAATGAAAATAATATGAAATTGATTGTTCATTTTTAAATCAAGTTGTATTGGAACACAGAGTCACACTCATTTGTTTGTACATTGGCTAAGGCTGCTTCCAGGCTACAGTGGCAGAGTAGGGTAGTCATGGCAGAGAGGCCATGGTGCTCAAAGCCTGAACTTTGCGGCCTTTACAGGGGAGGTGTACCAGCCCCTGCTCTGCTCCACCTGAGTGGAGGCTCCATGTCCTGGGATGTCATCCCACAGTGCTGTGACTCTGCCTCTTTCCTCTGAGGCTGGAGACACTATGGTATTCCACACCTTGCAGAGGACAGCCTCCTTGGAGGGGTCATAAGTACAATATCATGTCATTTTATTAATCAAGTTACTCCATCACATGCTTAAGCAAAACTGAAGTTTAAAAATCTACAATGGCTAGGTGCAGTGGCTCATGCCTATAATCCCAGCACTCTGGGAGGCAGAAGCAGGTGGATCGCTGGGCAACATAGTGAAAATTCGCTTCTACCAAAAATATATATCTACAAAAAACACAAAAAAATTAGCCAGGCATGGTGGCACATGCCTGGGTCCCAGTGTCTTGGGAGGCTGAGGCATGAGAATCGCTTGAACCTAGGAGGCGGAGGTTGCAGTAAGCTGAAATTGAGCCACTGCATTCCAGCCTTGGCAACAGAGTGAGATTCCCACCTCAAAAACAAAAAACAAAACAAAACAAAAAAACCCTACAACATGCACGAAGCCTGATGTGATAGCCTGTGTTGAGCCGGCTTCTGCATCTCAGCACCCTGGGCATTTGGAGCCGGGTACTTCATAAAGGTGGGGTCCACCCTGTGCACTGCAGGATGCGTAGCAGCATCTCTGCCCTCTGCCCTCTGGATGCCAAGCAGCCTTTCTCCAGGCTCTGCCCAACATCCACTTGCGTGGGGAACAAAGTGTCCCTGGTTGCAACCACAGGTTTAGAGTGAGGCCGCTCAGGAAAGCAAATAGGCAAGACGTGGGGGACAGGGGAAGCTGAGACCCTGACAGTACATTGTAGACAGAGGCCTCAGAGGGACTCGGAGGTGACCATGAAGGGCAACTCCCAGAGGGCTGTTATATCCTGGACGCTGTTTCCATTGTTTTGGGGGGCATGTCTGTGAGGCCAGCAGGATGTGTTCTGGGGTTTCCTCCCCCTGATAAACTTACACTGTCAGGGTACCTAAGCACACTTAGTTCTTTACACCCATGTGTCCAGTGGGAGAAAATGATCAACTAAAAGATGAAGGAGGAGGAAGGGCTGCTATCTGGGTTCAGCTGCCCACTAGCAAGGGCCCCAGAGGGTAGGGTCCAGTCTCAGCATGTCTGTCTTCAGCTGTCCCTGGCTTTGGTGCTGATTGACCCCCACTGCTCCCTTCTGGCCCCCATGGCATCACTTGTGGTGGTGGTAGTGGTGGAGTGGTTTTTTGCTTCATTAGGGATCCAATAGAAGGTCTCTCTAAAGTAAGACTCACATCCTATTTCTGGGCTTCTGGCCTTCACGTCTTACCCCCTTTCCCGCTCTGTGGGAGGCTGGCAATTCAGTAGTTTGAGTGTGGGGTGGGTGCAATTTGGATATTTAGTGCTCTGCCTGCTTTGTGGCGGGCAGAGGGAAGCATGGTGCGGGGAGGGTACCCACAGGACAGCGGGGCTGGCTTTCTGCCCTTGTTTGGTTACACACCTATTTCCAGTGTGGTCACCCCCAGGATGGGAGCGGATCTCTTTCAATGGAGGACAAACTTGGGATTCCACCCATTCCTCAAACTTGAAGGCTTCCTTTCTAACCATGATAAACTGTTCCATTTTATTTATTTTTGAAAATTTTTTCTCTGTTTCCAACCACACAATGATTTTCATCATCCTTTGGTCTGAAATTGAATATGGCTGTTAGGCTCTGCATTTGTGGGTATTCCGAAGAATCTTCTGATTTTGTCAGTTCTGAGCTGCTGCTTGGAGGGGTACAGAGGGCTAAGAGTTAAGAGCACCTCCATCTTATACTCAGCTCTGGAATCTTCTTTCTCCTCTTGGCCATTGATTTTTGAAGTCGATAATACTGAACCATGACCTTTTTTGTGTTGTGGCTGTAGTTGGTGAATTTCCTTCATTGTATTTTAGAAATGTTGGTCTGTTTTGTTAGGTATTTTGTAGGGAAGTTCTCCCCAGTCATTTTAATATGACACTGATATTTGGTCACCTATATTATTTATAACCTTATGGTTATCAACAAATGGAACCACAATTATTGATCATTAAATAAGTGAAATAAGCATCTAGAACTGCGAAGAATGTGTAAATAAAATGCATTATTTCTGCTTGCCCTTCCCTCACCAAATGATTTGGAGGGCAGCTGGGGGAACCAAGGTAAGTGACAGAGTTAGAGAATAATTAAGTGATAAGGGGCACTACTGACTCTGAGCCCATCCTAATTCAGAGAAAAGAAGAATCTATGTAGGCTTGAACTTGTTGAAAGGGACTTTGTGCCCACTGAGGCTAACATATGAAGGTTTTCTGCAAACCAGGCACTGTTCCATTGTAAATATTTATTCATTTAACCCTGCAACAACTACCATTGTGGGACAAGAGCAGATTTTAAAGGAGAAGTAAGAACAAAACCAAACAAAATATAACAAGAGAGAATGCACTGGGAAGAATTAGCAGCCACAGCTCTCTAGAATGTTAATGAAATTGTGGGCAGGTGTGTAGGTAGAACTGGATCCAATTATGAACTTCCTGGACATGTTTAGGCTTGAAGTTCTTTCAGCAGTAGTAGAGAACATCATTAAGTTTACTAGGTAATTGATATTGTTAATATTGTTGTTGGTATTATGTTGATACTGTTAGCAAGTTAAGACTAGCAAGTGCATAGTTTTCTTGATAAAGAACATTTAGCTAAAGCAAGTGCATAGTTTTCTTGATAAAGAACATTTAGCTAAAGCAAACATTTGTGAATTCAAGTATTTATTACATGGTGTTTTTTAAATAATTACTTTGAAACTTAATAGATATTTCTGTTTTACTTTTCAGATGTGTTACTTTAAAAAGATATTCTATTCTGTAGCTTTGCCATATTGGGTAAATGATGAGTGAGGATCAGACATTTGATGTGACTTTCAGTTTTGAATCCAAGTTGCATAAAAGCCTGAGATTCCTCTACTGAACTGAGAGTTTTGAACACTTCTTTTAAGGATCTTCTTCTCTGTCATAATTGCATATATCATATGCAAAGAACATCTTGCTATGGTTAGTGGTATGGTATGCTTTTATCAGCTACCAAAAAAAGTATTTTAGTAAAATCACTAAATAGAGAATCACTAAATAGGGAGCAGAACAGTCCCAGATATTTCAATGGATCACTTAAGAGTGAATCATGAAACATATCTAAATCCCATCTTATTAATTTCCTCCTTTCTTTCTTCAGAATAATTTCTTATATCTCCTCAAACCTGTCTGATTTTTGTTTGCCTTTATTTTCTTGAAAAAAATTGTCAACATGAATTTTTAAAAAATACATACACTTTCTGAGATAATTCATATGAATTTACATCTAGAACAGTCTTAAAATAAATTGAAGGTGACTCACTGCATTTGTAGACAGCTGCTTCATTTCCATTGTCTGTCTTGTTTGTTTTAAGGCATTTCTAAGAATTATTTGCCAAGTGTTAATTTGGATAGAAGCCACAGTGTGAACTTAGCGATAATAATGCGTGTATTCAACCTATGTCCTCCTGGGAGGACCAGTCCTTCTGTGTCTTATCCTATGGAGTTTCAGTCCAGCCTTACCCATATGTTTGGCCAAGAATGAACAGAAGAGAAATATATTGAATATAGAACTGGACACAAGATGAATTCACAGAAATTCAAACTGGAATTTAGGTAGCTGAAACTGGACTTGAGCTTGGAATTTCTGTATTGCCAGCTCCAACATCCCCTTATGGAGAGACCCTGAACCCCCAGATTCACTGTAGAAATTACTTAACCCACCCA